GCAGGAGCGTCCGCGCGGTGGCGCCGCGGGGCCGCGGGGCCGTGGACCGCACGTACTGCTCCACGGCGTCCGCGAAGCTGAACTTGTCGGGCCGGTAGCCGAGCTGCGCGCGGGCCTTGGCGATCTGGAAGGTGTGCGTCACGGCCACGCTGTGCACCTGCGGCGACGGGCGGGCAGCTGAGCGCCGGGCTCGTGGGGGCGGGAAGCAAGCGCCGAGGCAGTTTACAAGGACCCGCGTGTTTGCCCCTGCGTGGCCCTCATCAGGCAGAACCCCCTTTCTGCCTTTCCACTTTCCTCAAGGGCGCCGCCTTCAGGATGCCTTTCCTGCGTTTCCCCGCCCTGCTCCTGAACCCGGGCCCCTGAAAGCAGAGGCCCCGCGCCCCTGCGCTCCCCCCGAGGCGCTGCAGACGCGGGGCCTGGGCGCGGCTCCGGGAGAAGTGCTCCAGGAGCCGCTCTTGGCTCCCGGCCTCAGCCCCACCCGTGTTTCGCCCTCTGAGTAACTGAGCTCCCCGCAGGGGAACTCCACTGTGCAGGTTCTCCAGGGTTTGGGCTGCGGCTCTGCTGCCAGACGGCGCGGAGCCCACGGGCTTCCAGGACAATGATGCGGCTACAGTTTCAGAACTTCACCCTGCGCTTGACCGGGGCTAAATCTCATTAATCCTCCGAGGTGGTTCTGTGGTACCCCCCCATCTCCTCTTAACATATTTGAAAATTGAAGATGTGAGATTAAGTGGCTCGCCCACGGCCACACCGGGAGCCAGACTCCAGAGCCTGCCCATGTGGACCCCAGGAAGGTAAAGGGGGCCACTAGCTGCTTGATTCTCCCACGGCACTGAACCGGCCACCAGGGTCAAGCTCTGGTTCTTATTTAGTTTTGTAATCCTTACCCCAGGGTATTTTTTCCATTGCTTTTCAGAGAGAGTGGAAGGGAGAGCGAGAGAGAGAAACATTGATGTGAGAGAGACACATGGATTGGCTGCCTCCCACGCCCACCCGAGGGGCCGAGTCCCAGGGCTCACGCTCTGGCCATTGAGGCAAACAGGCTAGGGCAAGGCCTGGTTCTTAGATAGATGCTTGTGGGAGGAGAGAGGGAGAGAAGTCAGTTCTTGTCCCTTTTGCCCCAGCTAGTAAGTTCAGGGCTTTGGGGTGGGGGTAACAGCTGTGAACTAGATAAACAGGTTTCTGGAACACAGTGTTCTCAGCTCAGGCTCATTTCCTCCCTGAGGTCCTCAGAACTGGCTTAGGTGCCTTCTGTGTGCCCTGGAGTTCTTCCCACCCTCCCCCAGTATAGTCTTTATCACTGTGTTGAATTGCCTGGCTATCGGGCTCTCTTCCCTTCTGGACTGTGAGCTCCTTGGGGTAAGGACTGTGTCTTTCCTCCATTGCTCAGCAGGGTGCCTGCAACACCATTCATGTTAAATGAATGAAACTCTATCAAGTCAAACTAGAGGGCTTGTTGGTGTGCCCTAGACTGACAAGCAGAGGGCACCAGAGCCACATTCCCCTTCCTCCTGAGCTGCCCACATGAGAAAGGAGAGGGTGGGGAGCCAGGTGCCTGCCAATCACAATTCAGCAGCATCTAGGCAGCTACTTTACATGATGTGTTTCCTGACTCATTTCACAGGCTACTGGTTAAGCTTAAAATCATTTAGGTCCCGTTACAGTTCAAGTCTCAGCTCTGCTACTCGAGTAAGTGATCATGGCAGGTTATTTCACCTATTTCTCATTTCCTTCCCTGTAAAGGGAGATGATAATACAATATATTGTAGACACTAGAGCAGATGTGATGATTAAATGAGATAAATACAGAAAACACAGCCAACATATCGTTGCCACTCAAAGGAAGGTCACTATTGTCATTATTTTCTTTCCTCTGCTGGTCTGGATGGTGCAGAGGAGAAACGGTGGGGGACTGCTTATTTCTGTGGCCCAGTCGCCACTGCCGAGTGAGAGTGCCCTAAGCTAGGGCTGTGAAGCCAATTCCAGAATGGTGTGACCTTGGACAATTCACCAGCTTCTCTAGTCCTCAGTTTCTCATCAGAAAATGAGATCATAACCATAATTTTTTTTGCCCTTCCTAACTTACCAGGGTATCAGAGAAAATCAAATGAGAGAGTGGACTGGAAGGATTTTGCAAATAACACCAAACACTCATAAAGTTTACAATCTGCAATAAAACATCCTCTCTTTTAAACTGTATATGCAAATAGAAACTACGCTGTCATTATTTGAAAACAGTATTCTGTACAAAGTACTTAATATATACTTATTACTCAGTAAGCATGGACCTAGAACCATAAGGCTCTGTGCATGTGCGTGTGTTGAGAGTTGGCAGGGTTGGTGGGGAGTGATGGCGTTCTAAAAAGTAAATGTCACGGAGCCTGCTCTTTGGAGCCCCCCAGGTTGGCTGGGAAGATAAGCTGGATAAAATGACAGTGATGAGAGATGGGCTTGGAGCTGTCACATTTCAGATCAAGAGAGCACAGCCTAAGCAAGAGCCCAGACGTTAGATAATCATGAAGGACCTACCACTAGATTTGGGCCCACATGGAAGGTTCTGAGATCTCAGACAAGCATCCGGTTGTGGTGTCAAAGGGGTGAGGGGTGGTGGCAGTGGGGTGTGGAGAAGGAGCATGAAGGCAAATGAGGGGGCACAGGGGCACCCCCAGCAGCAGTCCACTTACCTCACTCCGGGTGAGCAGTGGGGGGATGCTGCAGATGGGCCTCAGGGCCAGGTGCAGGTACTCCATCACCGTGGCTGTGTGGAGAGAGGGGCCAATGACCAGGGTACCCAGCTCTATGCAAGCTCCAGGGGGCCCTTGGGGACATATCAATTGGGGGCATTATTTGCTTTGCTAGGCGGAGTCTTCACTTTGCAAAAATGTTCTGTGTTTGGATTCCTTTAAGTCAGCAGTTCCCAGCACATGCTGGGGTGCCTTGTTTGGCTGAGAAATGTTATTACATTTTAAGGACGGACCGAGCAGATTCAAAGTAACCTAATAATGTCTGCCTCACTCACTTCTATGCTCTCTTGAGGAGGAGGGGAAGAAGCCGGGGTAGTGGTTCTCCCTGGGCTGCGCTCCAGACCACTTTTTAAAATGCTGAGGCTTCCTCCATCCCCTTGCTTCCCACTGATGCTGATGTCATTGTTCTGCGACGTGGCAGAGGCATATTTATGTTTTAAAAGCTCCCAGGTGACTCTAATGTGCAGCCAGAGTTAAGAACCCCTAAGTTACAGTTAGCATTTATACAGCCCTGTAAAACTGCCAGACCCCTAATCTTTTCTCAGCTGGGTCAAGGAGTGTCAGCCACTGTGGCGATGCTGTGCTGGAGCAGCCGTCCTGTGTGCGTGTGCCCCTGTGGACAGACTGTTCAAACCCTGCTTTAAAAAGGCAAGCATCCCAGTGTATTTAAAATACAACAAGGCCAGCTGATGTTTTCCAGGAGCACTGCTATTTGTTACTTGAGGGCCACCTGTCCCCTGGGCTGAGCACTTTATGCCTGACACCTGCTCTGAATTCCAGCTGGGGGTGTGAGTAGAGACTGAGCTTCAGGGCAACGAGGAGAATCTAGGGTCAAAAGGAACCTCACGTGTCCAAAAGCACCCTTAACTTCAGGGTGACCTTGGGCAGCCCCAGGCTCCCTCCCTCTCCTCCTTACTGGCAGTGCCCTCCAGCACAGGCCCCGGTGTGAATTCTGCCTCTCCCCTTGTCACTGTGGCACCGTGGGCTGGTCACTAACCTATCAGAGCCTCAGCTGCCTCACTGCTACAATGGGCCTCACACTATCCACCTTGCAAGTGGCATAGGGCTTAAACACAGCCAGAGCTAGGGTGAGAGGAGGGACATTTTGGGGCTGGGCAAATGCAGATCCAGCTTGGAGCACGTGAACCCTGAGAATGAGGGTCTCCTTAAATGTTGTGCCCTCAGCAACTCACTGACGTCCACCTAGTCCTGGCCCTGGGTTTAATGTGGTGATGCATGTTCACCCGGCACTCGGAGGGCTTTTAATACATTCTTTTCCTTACCTGTCAGGTAAACCCATGAAGTAGGCACCTGGATCCAGGGCTGGCTGTACCCCAGCTTCTCAAACTGCAAGAAAACATGGCCTGAGATGAAAACAGTCCTTCAGGGGCTAGTGTGGAAAGGCCACATGCTCTCTTTACCCTGGGGCCAGCAGGTACCTCTGGCACCATACCCACCCACCCCACAGCCAGCCCCAAGCCTGTGCCAGTCTCGAAATGGAACCCACACCTTGACCTAGAAAACTCAAGCAGGGAGTGAATGCATGGGGGCGGGGGTTCACTCAGCATCGTTCACATCATTTTTTTTTATTTGCACCTTCCTACACCCAAAGACACTCCAGGGCATTTACGTGGCATCTGATTTTTCTAAAAATTGCTATTAACGAGGGGGAAGCCCTAGATGTGTGGAGGGTGGTAGAAGATGCGTGAATGGGCTGCGCATCATGAATCGAGGTCTTCACTGGTGTAAAACCGTCCGAGTCTAAGAGACAGTGACAAGTCCTGCCGAGGATGCGGAGGCGCTGGAACCGCTCGCTCTGCTGGTGGGAGTGTAATGGTGCAGCCACTTGGGAAACGAGTCAGACAGTTCCTCGAAAGGTTAAATACAGAGATGCCACGTGACACAGCCATGCCACTTCTCTATATTCCACGGGACTATGCCCACGAAAAGTGAAAACACATGTTCACGCAAAAACTTATGCATACCATCCCTCCCTCCTGTTCAAAGGTAACCACTATCTTGACTTCTAATAGCATAGATTTGTTTCGCCTGATTTATAACTTTAAATAAATGGAATCATACCATTGTAAAAAAAACCCTTATAAATGAATGTTCATAGCAGCATTATTGATAATAGCCCCCAAGTGGAAAAGCCCAAAATTCTATCAACTGATGAATTAACAAAATGTGTAATATCCACAGAATGGAATATTTTTGGCAATAAAAAAGAATGGGTACTACGCTGGCCAGTGCGGCTCAGTGGGCTGGAGCATCGTGCCCTACGCTGAAAGGCCACGGGTTTAATTCCCGGTCAGGGCACACGCCCAGGTTTAGGGTTCGATCGCCTGTCAGGGCCCATACAGGAGGTGACCGACGGCTGTTTCTCTCTCTCTCTGAGATCAGTGAGAACATATCCTCAGTGAGGATTAAAATAAAAGAATGATGTGACCCAGGCTACAACATGGATGAGCCTGAAAACACTGTGCTAAATAAAAGAAACTGGTCAAAAAGGTCGCATGTTGAGTGATTCCGTTTATATGAATGTCCTGAAGAGGNTGTGTTGAATTGCCTGGCTATCGGGCTCTCTTCCCTTCTGGACTGTGAGCTCCTTGGGGTAAGGACTGTGTCTTTCCTCCATTGCTCAGCAGGGTGCCTGCAACACCATTCATGTTAAATGAATGAAACTCTATCAAGTCAAACTAGAGGGCTTGTTGGTGTGCCCTAGACTGACAAGCAGAGGGCACCAGAGCCACATTCCCCTTCCTCCTGAGCTGCCCACATGAGAAAGGAGAGGGTGGGGAGCCAGGTGCCTGCCAATCACAATTCAGCAGCATCTAGGCAGCTACTTTACATGATGTGTTTCCTGACTCATTTCACAGGCTACTGGTTAAGCTTAAAATCATTTAGGTCCCGTTACAGTTCAAGTCTCAGCTCTGCTACTCGAGTAAGTGATCATGGCAGGTTATTTCACCTATTTCTCATTTCCTTCCCTGTAAAGGGAGATGATAATACAATATATTGTAGACACTAGAGCAGATGTGATGATTAAATGAGATAAATACAGAAAACACAGCCAACATATCGTTGCCACTCAAAGGAAGGTCACTATTGTCATTATTTTCTTTCCTCTGCTGGTCTGGATGGTGCAGAGGAGAAACGGTGGGGGACTGCTTATTTCTGTGGCCCAGTCGCCACTGCCGAGTGAGAGTGCCCTAAGCTAGGGCTGTGAAGCCAATTCCAGAATGGTGTGACCTTGGACAATTCACCAGCTTCTCTAGTCCTCAGTTTCTCATCAGAAAATGAGATCATAACCATAATTTTTTTTGCCCTTCCTAACTTACCAGGGTATCAGAGAAAATCAAATGAGAGAGTGGACTGGAAGGATTTTGCAAATAACACCAAACACTCATAAAGTTTACAATCTGCAATAAAACATCCTCTCTTTTAAACTGTATATGCAAATAGAAACTACGCTGTCATTATTTGAAAACAGTATTCTGTACAAAGTACTTAATATATACTTATTACTCAGTAAGCATGGACCTAGAACCATAAGGCTCTGTGCATGTGCGTGTGTTGAGAGTTGGCAGGGTTGGTGGGGAGTGATGGCGTTCTAAAAAGTAAATGTCACGGAGCCTGCTCTTTGGAGCCCCCCAGGTTGGCTGGGAAGATAAGCTGGATAAAATGACAGTGATGAGAGATGGGCTTGGAGCTGTCACATTTCAGATCAAGAGAGCACAGCCTAAGCAAGAGCCCAGACGTTAGATAATCATGAAGGACCTACCACTAGATTTGGGCCCACATGGAAGGTTCTGAGATCTCAGACAAGCATCCGGTTGTGGTGTCAAAGGGGTGAGGGGTGGTGGCAGTGGGGTGTGGAGAAGGAGCATGAAGGCAAATGAGGGGGCACAGGGGCACCCCCAGCAGCAGTCCACTTACCTCACTCCGGGTGAGCAGTGGGGGGATGCTGCAGATGGGCCTCAGGGCCAGGTGCAGGTACTCCATCACCGTGGCTGTGTGGAGAGAGGGGCCAATGACCAGGGTACCCAGCTCTATGCAAGCTCCAGGGGGCCCTTGGGGACATATCAATTGGGGGCATTATTTGCTTTGCTAGGCGGAGTCTTCACTTTGCAAAAATGTTCTGTGTTTGGATTCCTTTAAGTCAGCAGTTCCCAGCACATGCTGGGGTGCCTTGTTTGGCTGAGAAATGTTATTACATTTTAAGGACGGACCGAGCAGATTCAAAGTAACCTAATAATGTCTGCCTCACTCACTTCTATGCTCTCTTGAGGAGGAGGGGAAGAAGCCGGGGTAGTGGTTCTCCCTGGGCTGCGCTCCAGACCACTTTTTAAAATGCTGAGGCTTCCTCCATCCCCTTGCTTCCCACTGATGCTGATGTCATTGTTCTGCGACGTGGCAGAGGCATATTTATGTTTTAAAAGCTCCCAGGTGACTCTAATGTGCAGCCAGAGTTAAGAACCCCTAAGTTACAGTTAGCATTTATACAGCCCTGTAAAACTGCCAGACCCCTAATCTTTTCTCAGCTGGGTCAAGGAGTGTCAGCCACTGTGGCGATGCTGTGCTGGAGCAGCCGTCCTGTGTGCGTGTGCCCCTGTGGACAGACTGTTCAAACCCTGCTTTAAAAAGGCAAGCATCCCAGTGTATTTAAAATACAACAAGGCCAGCTGATGTTTTCCAGGAGCACTGCTATTTGTTACTTGAGGGCCACCTGTCCCCTGGGCTGAGCACTTTATGCCTGACACCTGCTCTGAATTCCAGCTGGGGGTGTGAGTAGAGACTGAGCTTCAGGGCAACGAGGAGAATCTAGGGTCAAAAGGAACCTCACGTGTCCAAAAGCACCCTTAACTTCAGGGTGACCTTGGGCAGCCCCAGGCTCCCTCCCTCTCCTCCTTACTGGCAGTGCCCTCCAGCACAGGCCCCGGTGTGAATTCTGCCTCTCCCCTTGTCACTGTGGCACCGTGGGCTGGTCACTAACCTATCAGAGCCTCAGCTGCCTCACTGCTACAATGGGCCTCACACTATCCACCTTGCAAGTGGCATAGGGCTTAAACACAGCCAGAGCTAGGGTGAGAGGAGGGACATTTTGGGGCTGGGCAAATGCAGATCCAGCTTGGAGCACGTGAACCCTGAGAATGAGGGTCTCCTTAAATGTTGTGCCCTCAGCAACTCACTGACGTCCACCTAGTCCTGGCCCTGGGTTTAATGTGGTGATGCATGTTCACCCGGCACTCGGAGGGCTTTTAATACATTCTTTTCCTTACCTGTCAGGTAAACCCATGAAGTAGGCACCTGGATCCAGGGCTGGCTGTACCCCAGCTTCTCAAACTGCAAGAAAACATGGCCTGAGATGAAAACAGTCCTTCAGGGGCTAGTGTGGAAAGGCCACATGCTCTCTTTACCCTGGGGCCAGCAGGTACCTCTGGCACCATACCCACCCACCCCACAGCCAGCCCCAAGCCTGTGCCAGTCTCGAAATGGAACCCACACCTTGACCTAGAAAACTCAAGCAGGGAGTGAATGCATGGGGGCGGGGGTTCACTCAGCATCGTTCACATCATTTTTTTTTATTTGCACCTTCCTACACCCAAAGACACTCCAGGGCATTTACGTGGCATCTGATTTTTCTAAAAATTGCTATTAACGAGGGGGAAGCCCTAGATGTGTGGAGGGTGGTAGAAGATGCGTGAATGGGCTGCGCATCATGAATCGAGGTCTTCACTGGTGTAAAACCGTCCGAGTCTAAGAGACAGTGACAAGTCCTGCCGAGGATGCGGAGGCGCTGGAACCGCTCGCTCTGCTGGTGGGAGTGTAATGGTGCAGCCACTTGGGAAACGAGTCAGACAGTTCCTCGAAAGGTTAAATACAGAGATGCCACGTGACACAGCCATGCCACTTCTCTATATTCCACGGGACTATGCCCACGAAAAGTGAAAACACATGTTCACGCAAAAACTTATGCATACCATCCCTCCCTCCTGTTCAAAGGTAACCACTATCTTGACTTCTAATAGCATAGATTTGTTTCGCCTGATTTATAACTTTAAATAAATGGAATCATACCATTGTAAAAAAAACCCTTATAAATGAATGTTCATAGCAGCATTATTGATAATAGCCCCCAAGTGGAAAAGCCCAAAATTCTATCAACTGATGAATTAACAAAATGTGTAATATCCACAGAATGGAATATTTTTGGCAATAAAAAAGAATGGGTACTACGCTGGCCAGTGCGGCTCAGTGGGCTGGAGCATCGTGCCCTACGCTGAAAGGCCACGGGTTTAATTCCCGGTCAGGGCACACGCCCAGGTTTAGGGTTCGATCGCCTGTCAGGGCCCATACAGGAGGTGACCGACGGCTGTTTCTCTCTCTCTCTGAGATCAGTGAGAACATATCCTCAGTGAGGATTAAAATAAAAGAATGATGTGACCCAGGCTACAACATGGATGAGCCTGAAAACACTGTGCTAAATAAAAGAAACTGGTCACAAAAGGTCGCATGTTGAGTGATTCCGTTTATATGAATGTCCTGAAGAGGCAAATCTATAGAGACAGAAAGCAGGTGAGCAGTTGCCGGGGACGGGGGGGGGACGGGGGTAACCCTGNAAAAGGTCGCATGTTGAGTGATTCCGTTTATATGAATGTCCTGAAGAGGCAAATCTATAGAGACAGAAAGCAGGTGAGCAGTTGCCGGGGACGGGGGGAAGGGGGGGTAACCCTGACTGCTAAAGGATGCAGTTTGGGGTGCTTCTATTTTGGAGGGTGATGAAAGGTCCTAGAATGTATTATGGAGATGGTGGCACAACTCTGAATATGCTAAAAACCATTGGGCTGTATGCTTAATTAAGTAGGTGAATTGTATGGCACGTGAGTTCTAGCTCAGCGACGCTGTTGAAGGTTGACCCGGGAGGGCCTGAATGCCCTGAGGGGTCTCGTCCAGCACAGGGTTCGCAGCCCCTTCCAGACAGGCCTGGCCCAAGGAGGAGCATGTGGGCTGCCTCGGGAGGCAACCGTACAGGAGGCCCCAGGGCCAACACCTCCCTTCCTGCGTCGAGCCACCTTCTACTTACTTATTTTTTTTAAATCCTCACCTGAGGATATTTTTTCCATTGCTTTTCAGAGAGAGTGGAAGGGGGAGAGAGAGAGAGAGAAACATCGATGTGAGAAAGACACATCCATTGGTTGCCTCCTGCACGCACCCCGACAGGGGCCAGGGATCGAGCCTGCAACCGAGGTACACGCCCTTGGCCAGAAGTGAACCCAGGACCCTTCAGTCTACGGGCCGATGCTCTAACCACTAAGCAGCCGGCTAGGGCCTACTTCTTTGAGAGCCTCACCACACAGTATGGTGGATCACAAGCAAAATTTCACAGGGGGAGCAGTCAGCATGAATCAGGAAGCAGACTGGGAGGGACTATGGCAAACTGGGGGAGCACAAGACCGCCCCAAAGGGCAGCTACAACGCAGCTCCAGGCAGTTCCAGTGCCGCCCAGTGCACACTGTTTCCAGAACTGGTTTTGGAAGTGAAATCTGACTCTGTAGAAGTAGGGAAGGATGACAGGAAGAGAAGAGCCGGGGATCCCTGAATTCTCTCGCGCGGTGGGGGCGGGGCATCTGGGCACCTACCAGCGGAGCCATCCACTCAAAGAGGTTGACGCTCTCCCCGTCGTTGATGTAGTATGCCTGCCCGCTCTGAGAGGGATGCCAGGAAAGGGGAACAGTCAGGCACCTGCCCACCACCTGACTCTACCTTTCAGATGACCCCCAGGCGCTGCCCAACCCACCAGTTCTCCTAAGCAGCCACGGAGGGGTCATGGCCAGTCCCCAGCCGCGGGCACAGACCTGGGCAATTCCCTCTCAATTCTGGAACTAACTAGCTGTGTGACCCCGATGGAGTCACTTAACCAGTCTCTGTACCTCAGTTTCTTCATCTGAGAAATGGAAGAATAGTAATGGGATCTCTTGGGCTGTTGTAAAGATTAAAAGCAACAGTGTATGTGAAACGCTTATCATTTGGTGACTGTTATTCTGGCATCAACACCACCTGTCTCACAGGGTCACTGCTAGGCGCTAATCCCGCTCTATAAAGAACCCTGTCCCGACCCGACCTCCCAGCTTCCCTGGGTCTACAGTCCCACCAGCCATCTTGGGGTGGGGAGAAATGCTGTATGTGAACCAGGAATCCCCTAGGGATGGGAACCTGCCTGCAGCCCGTGGAGGAAGGTGAGGGGAGCATTGCAAGGGACTCACGGCCACGTAGCCCTTGGCGGCAGTGAGGGCCTCGGCGGCCAGCACGTGCGCCTGCACCAGATTGCGCACGTGGACCCAGTTCATGCGCGTCTTGCGGTCCCCAAATCGGAACATGAACAGCCTCTTCTTGATGTGGCTCTGGGGGGTGGGGGAAGAGGGGTGGTCAACACAGACCCAAGCCTAGGTAGCTTTAAATTTCATCTCTATGCTAACAGGTCCCAGGCCAGAGGCCTCTGCCCCAACCCCATGTACCAGGAGCCTTCCGGACATCTCCCTGGCGGTCCAGCAGATCACGCGAACTCGGCCTGTCCTGGAGCCAGTGCCTGGTCTTTGCTCTCTCTCAGCCAGCTCCTCCCTCCTGTCTCAGCTGACAGCCTCCAGGTTCAGACTAAAGCCCTGGGGCTGCCTTGCTCTCCCTTCTCTCACACCCACATCCAGCTCACTTGCAAGTCCAGCTGGCTCAACTGTCACAATCTGTCCAGAATCAGCCATGTGTCACCGCCCTGCCTGCCGCCCTCTTCTCTCACCTGGATCCTGAAATAGCCTCCTAAGGGCCCTCTGCTGCTGTTCTCCACAAGTCCAGGGACCCTTTTAAATGCTAAGTTGGTGCATGTCTCCCCTGCTCAGGACCTCTGGGGTGCCCATCTCGCCAGGTTGGAAGCCTCAGTCCTGACAATGGCCCTTCTGACCTGGCCCCAGCTTCTCTCTGACTACAAACCCCTCGATGGCCAGGCTCCGGCCCCCGGCCTCCTCCCTGGGACACGCTGGCAGGTCCCACCTCAGGGCTCGACGTGCTGCTCCCTTTGCCTGGAGGGCTCTCCTCCAGGTCCGTGTGATGCACTCTCACCCCCTTAAATCGATGCTCAGAAGTCCCTGCTCGACGACGCTCCCACTGCCAGTCCTCCTAGTCCCCTCAACCTTTAACACCTTTCCTTTTCCTTCACGGTACCTTCGAACGGTCCTGGTCATTTATCCTGTTGATTACCTACCTCTTGAGTAAGAATTTAAGCCCCACGAGGGCAGGAATTGTCTGTTTTGTTCACTGATCTGTCCCCAAACCTAGAACACCTATCTTTCTCATGTCCAGGTTTGTGCCCAAGCTGTCTCCTCTGCTTGGACAACATCCTCTCTACCACCCCATCTCCCTGGTTAGTGCCTCCTTCTCCTGCCAAACAGCTCAGGCATCACTTCCTCCAGGAAGTCCTCCTGGACTTTCCCTTTCTGTTGTGCTCTCATCTTCTAGTTCCTCCTCCGTCTATACAGCCCTTACTACACTGACTCTGTGACCATGGCATCTGTCTCCTTGACCAGGCTGTGAGAAATCTGAGAACAGGACCTACCGAAGCTCCCTTATACCAGCTTCCTCTGGAGAGAGGTTTTTTTGCATGAAGACCCCGGTGCTGGTGGCATGAGATGAGCCATCTGGCTCCACTGAGCCCACAACTGAGTGGGGACAACAGGCTCCCCTTTGTCTCTTTGGAGCCACAGCTCCGTGTCTGTCCACCCATGCCTATATCTGGCTGGCGTACACTGAGAGCTGTGCCTGTGGGCCTGATGGGGCATGGGCACCTCCCAGAACTGAGGGCCCACGCTAGGAACACCACCCCAAGACTGATGCACTGACTACAGGCCGGGAGGACCCCCATCCACGAGAACAAGCCAGGCTCCTCCTGTGCCTCAGATCCAAGGCGGGAATGACATACCGCCACACGGGGCAGGTGCCTCTGCTCTTCAGGGCCGTAGATCCCTGGGGGCCGGAGTACACACGTCCGCAGAGTGCCTCCTCCTAGGACACAGGGGAGGTAGTCAGAGGAGAGGTGGGCCAGAAGAGAGAGGGACGGATGGCTGCCTACATCTCCTGGTCCTTACCTGGACAGGTTAGTAGGGAGGACAGGCCTTTGGAGTTTCCTCATTCAATTAATTATCCTTTCAGTCAATCAGTCATTCAACAAACACTATTCAGAGGTTTCCCCTCTACCCCACCCCCTGCCTTCTACACTGGGCCTTGGGATGTCCGCTGTGGAGAACCTAAGGATGACCAAGACTAGTTCCTGCCCTCATGATGCTCACAGGCTGTAACAGGTAAGGCCTAGATGCAGGTGTGTGCACAGCCCTTGTCAGACATGACCTCCTTCGACTCCCTCCTGTGCCCATTTAGAGATGCACACAGACACACGCTCCCTCACGCCAACAGCTGTAGTTCTTTCTTTTTCTGATCATCGGTCAGATAAGGACTATAATGGCCCTCAGGGAAATCCTACTATGTGCCTGGCACTCTGGGAAGCTGCAATTTTTCTCCCTCAAGGCAGCCCTCTGAGTCCACGTTCAGAGAAGGGAAGTGACTTGCCTAAGGGCACACAGCTCAGCTTCGTGGGGCTGAGATGGGGGACCAAGGCCCAGGCTCTCTCCATTAACACCCCTGCCTCTCAGAGACATGATAATAACAGCTAGACCCTGGCTTCCAGCTTTCTCAGCCTTGGTCTCCTCACCTGGAAAATGGGGGCTTTGCAGGTGGTGGTAGAAGATAGACTTTCTAGACCAGCAATGAAGAAAGGACCAGACTGGAGTCATCAGCACAAGAGCATATTCTCCAACCCTCATTGCTCTGTGCCAGCAGGGTCCCCAGGCCAAGACCAAGCTTGGCCCAGGGCTTCCCAAAATTCTCTTCCAGGGGCCCCCACTTGTGGGGTGGTGAACGTGTCTTCCCTGCGGGCATTTGGGCATATAGCCTGAAGGGCTGCCACAAATGTATTTCTTTCAAGTCTTAAGAAAGCCTACAAAATTTTCAGTTTACTCTTGCACTCCATTTGCATTTAAGATTTAAAACTTTTAAAGTTGCTTATTTGTAAATTATTTGACACTCAACCTCAACTCCTTAGCTGAGATGGAGCCTCCCATATGATTTCCTCCTTGGGGAGCCCCAAGCGGCTGCACCCCAGTCTGGAAAGCCCAGAGACCAGCTTCTGTGACGAGACTCCCACCTTCTTTTGGGGACCTCCTCCGCTATGTACAAGGTCTGGGAGAGCTGTCAGTCTAGATGTGCCCACAGGCCCCTGAGGTGGTGGCCATGGGACCTACGCTGGGCCAATGACACGTTCTCACCAAGGAATGTGACTCTAGGACCTAAAATCCTAGGAGTAGGTTTACCCAAGAGACTGGTCATCAGCTCCTGCCACTCAGGCTCCCGGGGCCGCCCCAACCCTGTCCAAGCCCTGGTGGCCATTTTTCTGGAAACACATTTTCTAAAAGCTGTCCCACATCCTTCCAGTGTGAGTCTCCCTCTTGCCAACAATTAGCAGGGCCAGTGTCTGCAGATCACAGCCAAACACCTTGACTGCTTCCCGGATCAACACCCTCACGTGACAACGTGGCCCAGTGTAGTGGATTGAGTGGTAGCCCTGAAAAGATATGTCCGTCCCCAGATCTGCAGATATGGCCTTATTTGGAAAAAGGGCCTTTGCACACGTAATTAAGGGCCTCAAAATGAGATCGTCCTGGATTATCCAGGTCGGCCCTAAATCCAAAGTCAAGGATCCTTACAAGAGACTAGGAGAGACAGATGGAGAAGAGGCCATGTGAAGACAACGGCAGAGACTGGAGTGATGCACCCACGCACCCAGGAGTGAACAGAAGACAAGGACACACTCTCCCCTGGGGCCTTCGGAGGGAGAGCGGCCCAGCTAACACTTTGATTTCAGACACCTGGCTGTGACCTGTGAGAACGGCGAGAGCAGAAATTTCACTTGATAGCCACCAAGTGTGTGGCAATTTGTCCTGGCAGCCCCAGAACACTCATGTACCCAGAGGCAGGAAGACACAGCCACGTTCACACTGAGCTGAGTCTGCACATCTGAGGACTCCGCCTCGGGGACAGGGCCCTCCTGCCAGGTTAGAGGCAGAGTTTCAGGGGCCGGCCTAGGTAGTAAAGACTGGAAATCACCCAGGGTGACGGTGGCTGGACTCCTGGAAGGCAGGTATCAGGTGAGCTTTTCTGTAAACAGCCTGTAGCTAATTTTAAACTCTGGGTCACCTGGGCATGGAGGGGGAGGTCGGGTTGCAGTGACATTGGCCGGTGGGGCCCTGGGCAGCCATGTCACAGAGGTGCCAGGCCCAGGGTATCCATGACCCTCTTGACCATGGAAAGCTGGGGATGCTCATATAAATAATTCTTGGCCCGAGGATTAGGTGTCTGGCTTGTAGGCTGCTGGTCCTGTGGGAACAGGGGGGCTCCAGGTAGAGAAGAGAATGCAATTGCACAGGGTCAGACCTCTGGGAAAACAGCTGGAAGGTCCTGACAGGCCCAGGGTGATGGGGTGGGGGAGGATTTTAATTTTTCTTTTTAATTCTCACCCGAGGATATTTTATTTTTTAGAGGAGGGCGGAGAGAGAAACATTGATGTGAGAGAGAAATTGCCTCTTGTACTTGCCCTGACCGGGGATCAAACCTGCAACCTAGGTATGTGCTCTGACCGGGACTCGAACCCACAACCTTTTTGGTGTACGGGGTGATGCTTCAAGCAACTGAGCCACCCGGCCAGGGTGGTGGGGAGGGTTTTAGGGGAAAGAGTTCATTCTCAGAGACCTGCTCAGCTGTGGCTACAGTGTTAGACCCCTGGGGTAGAGGAGGGGTTCAAAACCCATCTCTTCCACCTAATACTGTGTGACCTTGAGTTAAGTCAGTTAACCTCTCAGCCTCCGTTTCCTCCCGTCAGTTCCAGGGGTTTATAACTGCAAGCATCCGTTGCTTTCCAAACCCAACTGGTGCCCAAGTTTAGGGTGTGAGGGTAACTGAGTTTTCTGATTTTTGTTTGTTTCTGAATTTTGGCAAGCAAGCAGTGATCATTTGGATAGCAAGGAATTTATATAAATCTACTTGGTTCCTGAGTTTGGAAAGCAAGAGCGACCTAAGGTTTTTTTTATGAGGATGCTGTGAAGAGTTATGAAACTCTGCCTATAAAACTGGCATGTAAAACAGGGCCTGGCACACGGTAAGCTCTTGGTAAGCGCGGACTGTCCATATTCTACTCTTTAAAAGTGCCCACCGTCATTTTATCCCACACAAGCTCCGAGGTGGGTTCCACCATCGTCCACATTTCTTTATAGATGAGGAAACTGAGGCACAGGAAGGATAAGTGCATTGTCAAGGCCACGCAGCTAAGAGGTGGTGGAGCTTGGATTTGAACTCGGCTCAGTCCAATGCCAGTCTGAGGCACAGGCCAGGTTTCCTGGGAGTTATCTCAAAAACTTGCCCCACCCCTCCAAAGTGCTATACCTCATTCTGTACTCATAACTGGCTCTTTTATCTAAAGAGGGTCCTTAAACAGGATCCACTTGGATCTGGTTTCTTCCCCACTGACCATGAGCAACATGAGGGCAGAGACTGGGCCTGACGTTTTCTGGGCTGTATCCCTGGTGGGGGTGGGAACATAGCAGGTGCTCATATATGTTGACTGATGAATGACCAGGCCCTGGGGAAGTGTCCTTTGGAAAGAAGGCGGGCCTCAGAAACATGTCAGCTAAAAGCTAAAACCACACACGTGTTTTGGGGAAGGCAGCAGGGGGCACGCACAGTTGCCGTGAGCAGGGCCCCACCATACTTGCCTGGGAGAGGCGTTCCATTGGCCATGAGGGTCAACTGGTCGGCGATGGCTTTGGTTCGGGAATAGTGGTCCATGTGCTGTCAGAGGACAGGGAGAACAGAGCCAGCGGAGGGGTCACAGTGGGTGGCACTGCCGGCAAGGCCTGCACAGCCCAGCCCCAGGGCTGGGTTCTGGGGACTCTCAGTGGGAAATGGCCAAGCCCTGAGCCCGCCGCCCCTCTTCTCCCTCTGGGTGGAAGCCACAGGAGCAGTTCAGGGGAGAGGAGCCGAGTTCAGCTCCCTGACTCAGCGAGGCTCCTGCCAGCCCCGGACGCCTGCTCTGGGACACAGGCTGGACGTGTTGCACGGGTTTGTACAGGCGGCCCTTCAGGGTTCACATGGCATTTCTGCACACACCATCTCAATTCCTGCTCTCCACAACTGCACAGGGTGTGCTATCTTGCCCAGACAAAAGAGAGGCTCAGAATAAAGTGATTCGCTCAGGGTCAGACAGGGAGAGAGTGGCCTGGCTGGCTCAAGGCCAGGTCGGTCTGATTTCCAAGTTCCTGTTGGCAAAATAGAAGAGGGCTTGTGCCCCCCAGTGTTAGGGGCCCCTTCTTCCAGGGACTCACCCTGACTTGTGGAGTGACTCTGGCTCCCCCCTCCCTGGCCCACTGGCCCTGCCCGCCTCTCCTGGGAGCCAGGTACCTTCTCCAGTGGGAAATATGGCACCGAGTCCTCATCGCCCTGTTCTATGGGCTTCCCGCCGAAAGCGACATTGACAGTGCTGGTGTAGACGAGCCTTGGAACCCGCCGGCGAACACAAACTACGGCGAAAGGTGCACAAAGTCAAACACGTGCGCGTAGCCAATGTGTAGGGACAGTGGGCTGAGGCGCTGGCCCGGGGGCCGTCGGGGAATGTGCAGGTGCTCTGGAGGGAACGACATCCTCCCCGCAACTTGAGGTGTGGGTCTAGTCCCTGCTCTAGGTGTGGGCCCCTGGACGCCAGGCTGGCTCACTCTGTGTGGCTGTGGCTCCTAGCTACCTTGCCATGGACAGGTCAGAAGGAAGTCTCTCTCAACGGGGACACAGAAAAACACACACTCTAGAGTCAGGGAGAGAAGTGAGGTGCAGGACGTGCCCAGAGCCCAGGTGGGGGTCTCCTATTTTGGGATCTCAGTGATGTTTCTCACTCCCGACCCCTAACCCTGTGTGTAGACTCTACTCCCGAGGTCCCCAGACACACTGAGGCCACGCTGACCCACCCCACGTGGGGCCTGGGCAGGTCTGCAGCTCAGGAAGGATGTGCTGCCCACAGGCCCTCCGCTGGGGAGGGAGGAGGGTCTGCCTCTGTCCCCGTCCCCGACCCCCAGGGCTGGGCCTGTGGCAGGAGGCGGAGAGAAGCAGGAAACACAGCAGGCCACACTCGGCTCTAAGCGCCTACCATCGATCACCAGTTTGGTGCCACCAACATTTACAGACTCAATCTGCTCTTTTTGAAGCTAAAAGACAAGATGAGATGGTAAAGTTGCGGGGCTGCCTCCCCTCTGTGGCTGAGCCCGTGAGGGTGGGGACTGCAGGCCATCCAGCCCACAGGCAGGGCTCCCAAGAGGCTCAAGGGCAGAGCGGGAGCCCCAGGCTGCAGGGCGCAGCTCTGCCGCCGTCTCCCTGGCTGGGGAGGCTCTGTCTGCAGTCTGGCCCTCAGCTCCCGCATCTGTAAAGTGAGGGCACACGCCCTTGCGTCGTGGGCACAAAGAAATATGCCCCAAGGGAGGGCCTGGTACAGTGCTTGATACAGAAGAGGGACCTGGCCCAGCCGGCTGGCGCAGCGGTTGAGCATTGACCTGGGATCCAGGAGGTGGCAGTTCGTTCTGGTCGGGGCACATGCCCGGGTTGCAGGCTCGATCCCCAGCAGAGGGCGTGCAGGAGGCAGCCGATCAATGACTCTCATCATTGATGTTTCTCTCTCTCCCTTTCTCTCTCTGAAACCAATAAAAACATATTAAAAAATATATATTTTTTTAAAAAAGAAGCGGGACTCAAAGCATGTTGGATTGTTCCCTCTGGAAGTCTGTTTCCTTCTCTGCACAAGGGACAGTGACGCTGTTCCTGCCTGAGCAAGGGGCTCGGTGTGAAGTGTGAAAGCAGCTGGTCTGCAGTGAGGACAGCCCTGCGCCAGGGATGGCGAGCTTCACGCGTCACCCAGTCCCCACAGCCACACCAGGAGGTGGCTCTGACTTTTAAACTGTATTGATTCCTGTTGCGGTTGTCGTTGTTTAACAGGTAATTCAGCCACAAGCTTAAAAACCATTCAACCAGTAAAGAGGGTTTCTGGTGAAAAGGAAAGTAACTTCCCTCCCACGCCGGGTTCCATCTCCTCGCCCTCCCCAGAGGGGCTACTGCCTCCAGTCCCGTGTATTTCTACAAATGATCTTCACTTAGTAATATACCGACCAGAGCTTTTTTTGAACAAACAGGAGGATATCAAGCACTGTTTCTGCACCTTGGAAAATGCTCAGTATCAGCACATACTGGGTCACCTCATTCTTTTGGACTTCACTGTGTGGATATATTGCAACTTATATAAATAGTCTCCCACTGATGGGCATTTAGGTTATTTCCTTGTTGTGTTATCAAAAACTGCTGTATCCCCAGGTAGAACAGTTTTTCTATAGTTAATTTTTTTGAATATGTAAATTTTAAGTGGTGCTTTAAAAAGAACTCTCAAAAGTTAAAGTGGACATAATTATTTTAATGCTATATCTTATTTAGCTAAAGACCTATGATAACCACTCAGTATAGTTGTCTCAGAAATCTTCATTTTAAATAAAAATGTGTTTACAATAAAAAACAAAATAAAACAAAAAAACACCAGTGCTGTAAATATGCAAATAAGTATAATTTCTGAGTCAAAGAGTATGAGTATGTTTTGATAGACACTGTTGATGAAAGTACTGGGAATGTCCTCACTTGACAGAAGAAGAAAGGGAGGCTCAGGGAGGTTGTGTTAACCTGCCCTAGTCACACAGCTAGGAAGTGGCAGAACTGGCATTTGGTCCCATGGAGGAAAAAAGCAGGCTGGGTGTCACCTGAACCCTCCCAGAGTAGGCGAAGAGCATTAATAAACACACGGGCCTAAGGGGCAGGGCGGGCAGAGCTAGGACCTGACCCCGCTCTGTGCAACTCCGGGTTCTGCATGTGAGGGGCTCACCTTCTCAGCACCAGACATCCCGTGGGAGGCCACGTGGAAGACACAGTCCACCCCTTCGAAGGCACGGAGCAGGGCTTCCTCATCTCGGACGTCAGCCTGAAACAGAGAAGGAAGAGGTGGGGCAGGAGGTCTGAGTCCAAGGCAGAGATACCAACTGTGCACCTTGCAACATCCCAGAGCTGGCCCCCTGACCCCACCCAGGCCAAGCATCTGTAGGGCAGGAGGGCCGTGGGGCAGGATTCACATGATTCCACAGGTGTCATCACCAGCATCAGCCCCACACATCCAGCTGTCCCAGTGGCTGTGCTCAGTGCACTGCCTCTCCAGCCCACGAGACACCGTGAGGCAGATACTGAAGGGCCCCCTTTCTATGAACACGTGAGGCTCAGAGATGCAGAGCCTCGTAGCCATGGCTGTCCAGCGGGGAAGTACTGGGGAAGAGCTGGAGCTTAAGCAGCCTGTGCTCTCCTGCAACACCACGCTACTGGTTTCACATCAGATACTGTCTCCAGGCCTCCACCACCAGCCTGGACCCCCTCCGGTCCTCATCACTGCACCTGGATGAACTCAGTCCCTGAGGCCAGCTCCCACTGGGGTCTGCGCAGGTCAAGCAGGATGACAGAAGTGCCACTCTTGGCCAGGCTGGAACCCAGGCTAAAGCCCAGGTAGCCGCCTCCTCCAGTCACTAGAACCTTCTGCCTCGGGGCCTGCACAGGTGTGGCTTGAGTCTTCTGCTGCGACACTGGCGATGGGGCTGTTGTTGGCTCACTGGGTTTGAGACCAGTACCAGACTCACATCTTAGCCCAGGCTCTGCCCCTTGCCCAGGTACTGACCCAGCTCCTGGCCCAGGCCTCAGACCTGAAGTAGCACGAGGTCCCGGCCCAGGTCCTGCAGCAGCACCAGGCCCAGGTCCAGGCCCTGCAGCAGCACGAGGTTCCGGCCCAGGTCCTGAAGCAGCACCAGGCCCAGGTCCAGGCCCTGCAGCAGCACCAGGCCCAGGTCCAGGCCCCACAGCAGCACGAGGTTCCGGCCCAGGTCCTGAAGCAGCACCAGGCCCAGGTCCAGGCCCCGCAGCAG